AGGGAAGCAAAAAAAGATAGAAAATAATAGAGCAGCCAAGACTCCTAGGGCCTCATCTATACATACTAGTAAGAGGGAGGTAGAAGAAGAGAAAGAAGAGGCAGATCAGAAGAAACAGAGGAGGATGAGCGTTATATTGAAGAGGGAGATGACTCTGATGATGATGGCCTCGATTCTAATGCATATGATGAAGCTGACCATATTCCTTTTGATGATGATGATGATGACTAAAGACTGTTAGTGTTGACTATTGTGTCTTAGACTGTATATTTTCTGAATTTTTGTATATTTTCTTTTTCTTATTTTTAGTTTCTACTTTCTAGTTTCTAGTTCTACTATCTAACTTTTGTGTGTACAATCTACAGTGTATCAGACTATCAGTGTATGCTTGTATGGTTTTATTATTTTAGCATTGTATGAAAATTTGGATTATGGTCTTATTGATTATCAAAATTCTCTTCTCAACTTCTATCTTTTTTTTTTAACTGGGATTATGGTCTTATGAAGTATCAAAATTCTTATGGATTATGGTCTTTGTATTATCAAAATTCTTATAAATTAATCATTATCCGTCATCAGTCACTCATCAATTTTATTTTATTTTTTTCAACTGGCCGCCCAGGTTCTGGGCGCCCACCTAGGCAGCCACCTTGGCACTGGGAGGCTTGGACCCCCATGGTTGCCTAGGGGCCGCCTAACGCTTTTTGAAACTATGCATACCTCCACAGTTGCTACCTTGAAATTGTGATTCACATAACTACGTATAGCATCTTCATTTATTTTCATAAATATCATGATTCGTTTCACCCATTTTTCTTAGTCTGAAAAAAAAACCACTTGAACTAGAAAAAGGGTAAAGTCCTATTCACTACATCAGTTTGGTGTATGATCGGATTCTCATAGTATCCACTCACATATGAAGGTGCCATTGTTAAGTTTAAAATTTCACATTTCAAAGGTCATTATAGAAGGTGTGTTTAGTTCCGTGGAGGATGTCAAAGGTGCTCTTCGTAATTTTGGACTTGTTCGGGTTTTTGTTACATGCAACAAATATTTGTCCTTTTCAACCTCCGCAGCAATCGCAATAGTTAATCATGTCCCTTGATTTCTAGGATCTACATAAATTGCCAAGCAAAGGCCATTATTGAAATGATCTAACTTTGGTCAATTAAGAATGGAAATGTAGTTTCAGCATTTTTTATTTTTTATGAAGGCTCCATGATACAATTAACCAAAGGACTCCCCCATGCAGAGGGAATCCTTTCCAACTTCCACTCAAGCAATTTAGTATTAGCAACTTCAGGTAATAGGAACATGACATGGACCCCCTTCCTCTAATCAAAATATCTCATCATCTCCATTGTATTATCCAAACCAATTGGTAAGGAAAAGGTTAAAACTAATTAATAATCTCCAAGGGTGAATTGCCTTTCCAAGCCCATGTGAGAATCTGTTCCAGTTTATTCTTAACTTTGGTAAAACTTATCATTCCCGTAATCTCATCATACATCCATCCCTCCATCTTCATCCATATGAAACATATTTACAGTTCAAATTTTCAAATAATCAAGTCAAAAGCACATCACAAAATTGGCTGGCCAAATCAGAGCCAAAAACTAAGGTTGATGCGACTTAAAGGGAAAGTCCAATGCTGAATACAATGACCCATAGTCTTATAGCCACAAGATATGGCGAGCTTTTAGATGAGTATATGATATCTTCAGGTTTAAAGACCAAACCAGATCTTTGAATTCATAAAGCAGAAAACTGTATGTAATGATTTTTAACAACTTATGATTAAATTTAAAAACATGTTTCAATACAATTTAGGGCTTTTCATTTGAAGAAAGAGTGTTCCAGTTCTTCATGAATTCCAGTTGGACATTCTAGTAACTTCCCTGGTCTTCTAATGAAATTTTTACCGAATATTCTAAATATTGTACAACATGAAACTCTAGTTTTCAATCTGCCAAAGCAGTGGTTTAAAAAACGGATCGATAGCCAAGATCGAGCACCCCAAAAACCCATCCGGATCGGTGGATCAATGATCCAAATCGGGAATCGGCCGAATCGGTCGGATTAAACTGTACAAAAAATATTAAAAAATTATTAAAATTTATTATAAATGTTGTTTTCTAGGAATCCAATAAGAAATTGGGGTACTATATTATTAATTTTCATTTTTTCATCAATACGTGAATATTGAGATATTTTTTCTCTGTATGAACTTATTTTAACCATTAAATTACATCAATCAAAATAAAAATCATAGAACTATCATGGATGAAGTAAATAATCATACATGAACTACAACAGAGAATGATTTTTTTATAAGAACATTTTAGTTTTTTTGACAAAAACCTTTTATTTTTTTACAAGAAATGTTTGTCGTATTACATTTTTTTTTTAGTTTTAGCAAAAAACTTTTTTTTTTGACAAAAAATACTTGTTGTATTATTTTTTTTTTATAAGAACTTTTTTTTTGGACAATAACTTTTTATTACTTTTTATTTTT